ATGGAGATGCAAACGAGCTTACAGCATCAAGGTTAACCATGAATTACCCATCATAGTGTACGTTCCCTTAATCCTCCAGATAAAAGAATGAAGGAATTATGTGACAAGGGATCAGGTATGCATTCTGGTCTTTGATTTCAGAAATATCTATCTAGCCTATCCCTAAGCATATGCAGCCGATGAAATCATGACGTGCTACTCATCCAGATGTGAGTTTCCTTTGCCACATTGTAGCCAGCAGTGTCATTGCTATGCCCCACTGATGACATGTCCTGCCGATACATCAATAGTAGAGTGTGACGTGGCATCTCCTACTCCCTTGAGTTTTGGATAAGAGCTGAAATGAACAAAACTCTTGGAAATAGACAGTTACTGCTTTCTTGCAAGAGACAGAAAGTTAACCCTCAGAACCCTGCATTGTTCAAGCCACTGGGCAAATTAATACCAGAGTGGAGTAAATTTTACTGGTCAGACCCCACTCAGCTTTGTTTCTTTATGGACTGACTGCTACTGCATGCCGTGCCCAGCACAGTAACTAATAGCGGGGATGCCCAACAAATGGCATGTTAGTAAGCCAAAACGTTCCCATTCATCTAAAGCGTGTGTCTTGGTTTAAGGGCAAGGAAAGGAACTACAGGGAAGACACTCTTTGTTCCCAGAGTTCAATGGAATAAAAAGGAGTCAAACTCAAGTGTCTTTCCTTGAGGTCTCCCACTGCCTCTTTCAAAATGGTGCTCAGCGTCTGCGTGGTGTGATGAGGTTCTGGAGGACCAGCCCAGCCTGGTTGGGGGGGGGGGGGCCCAGAATGAGCACAGGACTCAGGGAAGCGGGAGCCTCACTCACTGAAACAAGTAAGGAGGAGATGGAGGCAGGGAAGCTGAGATCCTTGAGCGATGACTGTACTTTTTATTTAATATACAAAGTATGTACAGAACCTCCCAGGGTTTCCGACGAGGAGATTTTCTTTCTTCCCTCTCGTTTCCCAAGGAGGGTCCAGGAGTTCCTCACCCAGTCACTCAGCAGCCTTCATTGGCTTCCCGTGATGTGCTAGGCACTGGGGACACCCCTCTGTGAAGGAAACAGGTGTGAAGCCCTTACTGACACCATCCTGAACTATTACGGTGTTAAAACACGGCAAGTGTTGCAAACAAGGTCAGCTCCAAGGAGCTCCCCTCCCCTCACATCCTTAATGTTCAGGGGCCAAGCTGTCCCCTTCCCCATGATCAATGGCCATCCTCAGTGTAACTCAGGTTTACTGAGAGCCTGGGGGACTCACTGAACCTCAGGTCAGGTGCTGTCCTTGTCCCCATCATAGAAATGAGGGAACAGAGTCTCAAAAGTTCCCATAACTTGACCAGGGTCTCCTAGTGTGTAGGGTTGACACCAGATCAGCCCATTATTGTGAGTCTCAAAGCCCCGGCTCTTCCAATGCTGCAGCACGGCCACCGATTGTAGAAATCAAACAGGAGGAGGCCTTTCAAAAGGAACTGAGACTTGATAAACGTTTGCTTTTGTTTTTCTTAGATCCCATACATGCGCAAACATAAAACAGTTTTCCCAAAAGATTCAGCATCGGAAAGAATGGTTTAACTACTGACCTCTTTTTTTAAAATGTATTTTATTGAAGTAGGGTTGATTTACAGTGTTGTGTTAATTTCTACTGTACAGCAAAATGAATCAGTTATACATATATATTCTTTTCATGTTCTTTTCCATTATGGTTTATTACAGGATATTGAATATAGTTCCCTGTGCTCTACAGTAGGACCTTGTTGTTTATTCATTCTCTATATAATAGTTTGTAGGTGCTAACTCCAAACTCTCAATCCATCCCTCCCCCACGCCCCCTCCCTACTGGCAACCACAAGCCTGTTCTCTATGTCTGTGAGTCTGTTCCTGTTTCGTAGATAGATTCATTGGTGTCGTATTTTAGATTCCACATATAAGTGATATCTTATGGTATTTGTCTTTCTCTGTCTGACTTGCTTCACTTAGTACGACAATCTCTAGGCCCATCCATGTTGCTGCAAATGACATTATCTCATTCTTTTTTATGGCTGAGTAGCACTAACCTCTCAAGCTCTCCGTCGTGTCTTTTGAATCTCAGTCCAGCTGAGAAAGCACGTTGGACCTCGTGAACCTCTGTCAATGCTGGTTTAGAGGCTCATTGAGGTCAACTGACAAAATTGGTTTTGAGAAAAGACAAGAACATTTATCACTTGTTTAATTATTATTCCTAGGGTGTGCCTTCCTGCCTCCACTTCTTTTTTCTGGTAAAAGAGCTTTGAAAAGCTCACTTTGGCAAGCAACAGGATGGGTGATTAGGTTGTGGAGATCATGAATATACAGCCACTGAGCAAATAGAAAACAGTAAAATCAAAAGACTCACTGTTGGGCGAGTGGGTGCTTATGCCTCAAAATAAGATTCCCCTTGACAGCATCACAGCAGAATAAAAATAAAATAAAATAAAATAAAATAAGAATAAAAATAAGCTGTGGGGCTTCCCTGGTGGCGCAGTGGTTGAGAGTCCGCCTGCCGAGGCGGGGGGCGCAGGTTCGTGCCCTGGTCCGGGAGGATCCCGCGGGCCGCGGAGTGGCTGGGCCCGTGGGCCGTGGCCGTTGGGCCTGCGCGTCCGGAGCCTGCGCTCCACAGCGGGAGAGGCCACGGCGGTGAGAGACTCGCGTACCGCAAAAAATAAATAAATAAGCTGTGAATGAAGGGAGTGTGCTGTGGAAAACAAAGACTTCTTTTAACCATTTTATGGAGTTACGATTGACATACAAAAAGTTGTACGTATTTAGTGTGTACACCTTGATGAGCTTGGCGGTAAGTGTACACCTGTGAAACCATCCCCACGATCCATGCTGTAATCGTATCCACCCCCTCCTACATATTCCTCCCACCCTCTTTATTATTTACTATTATTTCTGTGTGTATGTGATGAGAACACTAAACATAAGATTCACCCTCTTAGCAAATTTTTAAATATACAGTGTTAGCAACTATAAGTACAGTAGATCGCTAGAATTTATTCATTTTGCATAACTGAAACTTTGCACACTTTGACTGATACCTCCCCATTCCCCCCAGTCCCTGGCAATGACCATTCTACTCTCTGTTTCTATGAGTTCAACTTTTTTAGATTCCACGATCATGCAGTGTTTGTCTTTCTGTATCTGACTTATTTCACTCAGCATCATGTCCTCCAGGTTCATCCATGCTGTCACAAATGGTAGGATTCCTTCTTTTTAAAGGCTGAATAATATTCCCTTGTACATATATACTAGCATTTTCTTTATTCATTCATCTGTCGGTGGACACTTAGGCCTCCTCTGTGGCTTGGCTCTTGTGAATAGTGTTGCAATGAACATGAGAGTTCAGGTGTCTCTTTGAGATCCTGATTTCAATTCCTTTCGATATTTACCCAGAAGTTGAACTGGTCATCATACGATAGTTCTACTGTTAATTTTTTGAGGAACCTCCATACTGTCTTTTGCAGTGGCTGTATATATTCTCACCAACAATGTATGAGGGTTTCCTTTTCTCCACATCCTAACACTTATCTTTTTTTTTTTTTTTGATAACAGCCGCCATAATTGGCATGAGGTGATAGCTCATTGTTGTTTTCATTTGTATTTCCCTAATGTGTAGTGATGTCGTCCATTTGAATGTCCTCTTTGGAGAAATGTCTTAACAGTTCTTTTGCCCATTTTTTAATCTCGTTAGGACAGAGACTTGTGTCCAGTTCAGGGAAATGCCCTATGGGAGGAGTTTGGGAGACTCTCTTAAATGGTTTTTAAAAAAAACAGAGAATGGGAAAATAAGAGGTCCGGGAGGGGGGCAACTTAGGGCAGAGGTCAAGGGCTGAACCTGTTGCTGGTCTCGACTGCTGCAGGGGTTTTGTTTGGTTTGATTTGTCTGCTTCTTTGTTTGTTTAATGAGATGCTGAACGTGTCTGATGAGGAATCAGGTTGCAGAAAGATGGACGTTGTAGTAATAAGAACACCATCTGGTCCCTGGGAGGAGGCGAGCATTGCCCATCATGACATTGTCACCTTGGAAGGCGCGCGGAGCCTCCCCAGAGCAGGGTGCAGAGAAGGGCAGGGGGCAGAGCTGGGCATGGGGAAGTTGGCATCCTGGCTGATGTGAGAGGAAGAGCCCAGACAGGACACCGGTGTGGGCAGGAAGGCAGTCCCGGGGCACCACACAGGGCACAGCTTATCTGAAGAATGGAGAACATTTTCCTGAATTTCTCACATAGTCTTCAACAGATACCACTGTGATAGGATTCGAGAGCCCTCAGAACCTTGGCAACGCAAACCCCAGGTACATGTTCTCTCGTTCCTTGACCGGAAGACGTGCTAAAAATGGCCATTTCCTGAGCTCTCTGGCTCCACGCCCCTCTGTACCGGGCACTGTCCTGCTGTGTAAAAAGACCATCAGATTTTATGCCTCCGTGGCCTCTGAGAGCAGTCTCTGCCTTGCAAACGCAGGCATTCGTCGAAGCCAGTGCTTGCTCCAGTGGGGAGCTTCGTGGGGCTGGAAACGTGGTGTAAGACCTCCGCGTTGCTCGTTCTCTCTCTCTCTCTCTTTGTTCCCTCACATTAGTCATCATTATTCCTTGGAACCTGCTTTAACTTGCATTTTCTCACCGGAGTCGTGTGGGAGTTGTTCAAGAGAGCAAGCCTCCCCTTCCCCCGCAGCCGGCCAGCCACCCGCTTTGGGGTTGGGTCGGGTGCGGCCCCAGAGCCAGGCCTCATCTCTGGAGAGGCTGCACGTGCCATGGGCCCGGTTAGCAGCCCTCCAGAAGAGGGAGTGATGAAATGCATGCTTTGCTGTGAGCTGAGGGGGGCTTGTATCAGGCATCAGCGAAGATGCCAGGTGTGATTTCTCGGGACGCTGAACATATCTTCCCTTAACCTGAAAGCCTCGTGCTGTTCCAAGAAAAATGTTCAAAACACTTGCAGGTGGTGAAAGTGCTGCTTTGCTTCTGTTTCAGGTGCTAAACCTGCCCCCGGGATCTGCTTCGAGAGAGTCAACTCTGCAGGCGACCCTTACGGCAACTGCGGCAAAGACTCCAAGAGCTCCTTCGCCAAGTGCGAGATGAGGTGGGATCCGCCTCCTGACCGCGCCGTGCCTTTGAACTTCCCAGATCACTTAGGGCTGCTTCCAGACGTTCCCTCTTTGAGCACTGTCTGTTCTTGCCTTTCCAGAGATGCTAAATGTGGAAAAATCCAGTGTCAAGGAGGTGCCAGCCGACCAGTCATCGGTACAAATGCCGTTTCCATAGAAACGAATATCCCCCTGCAGGAAGGAGGTCGGATTCTGTGCCGTGGGACCCACGTGTACTTGGGCGATGACATGCCGGACCCAGGGCTTGTGCTTGCCGGCACAAAGTGTGCAGATGGAAAAGTAAGACCCATATGCTCCCTTGCATCACGAATGTAAGTCTGGAAGGGGGCCCACTGAGAAACGTCCTGTTGGAGAACTGAGTTACAGGGCTGGTTTGTTTTCCTAAATCCGCTTCTCAGAATGTTGCCTCTGAAATTCCGTTCTTTGCACCTAGAAGGAAAAGTCAATAAATCCTAGATCCTGGTCTGACCATTGAGATGCAGATTTGGGAAAATCAAGCTTGTTTTCTCAGCTCTTTAGTGTTAATAAGTCATGTCTACACTCTGGATGTTATGAGAGTTTCCAGCCAGGAAATTACGCTGGAAGGAAACACAGCAGCGTATTATATTGTTTTTGGAAATGTGGTTTGGGTTTTTGGCACGGTGGGGACTTGTTCTCACCTGGACAGAATGGGAAGTCAGATGTAGTTTCAGAGACCCCCATACAGGGACAGGAGAGGGGAAGAGATAGGATAAGCTTAAAGCCAAAGGGTGTTCTTTTGGAGATCAGGGGGAAAGGTAGACTGAGATACTGGGGGTTGGGGGGCGGGCAGTTAGAAATAAAGTCCAAAACGAAAAAAAAATTTTTTGAGATTTTTATATTGTTTTTTCCCACCAAACTTTCTCATCGGACTGAATGATAGCAAGTTAATAAAACACTTTAGGAAAGAAGATGCTTTTATTAGGCTCCTCCTTTTCAAAATGATTATGAAATCATTACTGACGTGGAGGTCACAGAGCAGAAAGGAAAGGTGCTGAGTCATCTCCTGTCGCAGAGTCCCTGTATGGGGGTCTCTGAAACTACATCTGACTTCCCAATCTGTCCAGGTGAGAACAAGTCCCCACCAGGACAGGAGTTCCCTGCACTCCACCCCCTCCCCCTTGCCCCATACACCACAAATGCTTTTATCCTTAAGGCAACAGGATGATAAGTGAAACATGTTATACATTCTGGGTGTCTCCTTAACCACACCCATTGGCTTATATTCAAGCCTTGACATTAGACTGACACCATTTAAACTGTGGTCTGAACAGCTAAGGCCAGGTGCATCTGAACACTGAAATTCCAAGGACTCCATTTATCAGCGAGCTTTTCCCTTCATGTGCAGGATTCAATGTGCTTTGATCTCCTGCCTGCAGAACACTAGTTCTTTGAAAGCCGTCCTTAGCCTAGCCCGTGGGTTGGGGGAGGGCAGCACGCATATGCTGTGATTCTGCCTGGGGTCCTGCTGTGTGCATTGCAACCCCAGACGATTTCCTTTCTTAGCTGGCATGTGACAGTCCCCTCGGCCAAGGTTCCCACCAGCCCTGAGAGCTGCTTGGACCAGCCCGTTTTTTCAAAGGGCGTTAATCTTGCCTCAGATAAACTGCTGGGGTCAGATGGTGAATGTCTCATAGGAAGGTCCTATTTGATTAAAAATGCTTCTGTAATCTAAAAATTAGACTTTTCTCCCTTTGACTCCACTAATTTGTAACATCTTACGGGAGATAAAGAACCTGATCCCTTGAGTCTGGACTATATTATGCACCTTTGAAATAAGACTAAACTCTTTCGACCAGCCCAGTACCGTTTAGCAAATCGCTGCTTCTGCAGAGGCTTGAGAAATACAAGGGAAGCGTCTGTTTTACTCTGCTGAGCATTTCTGTTGATGGTTTATGTCATCGACGATAGTACTTGTCAGTCAGTATTTTGGAAAATTTCCCATAGTTTAATATCTCCCTTACCAGATTCAAGGATTCTCGGAGTCTTTGAGTCTGCATAGGGCCAGGTGAAGGACTAGTCTCTTTTGTTCTCTCCTACATCTTTTAATGGAGGGGGAAATGCTGCAATATGTAGATTTCATTGCAAGCTCTAAACAAAAATCATGAGAAAGTCAGTTACCCTAATTGCAGGATTGACCAAAACCATATAAAGTGCCATGAAGATAGACGACTTCCATAGTGTCCACATTGATGTGAGTCTTGAAATGGGCTGAGTGTGGAGGGCAGGCGTCAGGATCTATATCTGGGTCCGAGGCAAAGTGCATTATTCATATTAACTGAGAGATGGTCTTGCCCAAGCTTTCCTTTGCTTTCTCTTCTTTTTTTTTTCTTTTTTTTTTAAATTTTTATTGGAGTTTAGTTGATTTACAATGTTTTGTTAGTTTCAGGTGTACAGCAGAGTGAATCAGTTATACCTATATCCACTCTTGTTTAGATTCTTTTCTCATATAGGTCATTACAGAGTATTGAGTAGAGTTCCCTGTGCTGTACAGTAGGTTCTTGTTAGTTATCTATTTTATATATAGTAGTGTGTATATGTCAGTCCCAATCTCCCAATTTATCTCTCTCCTCCTTAACCCCTGGTAACCATGTTTGTTTTCTACATCTGTGACTCTATTTCTATTTTGTAGATGAGTTCATCTGTACCCTTTTTTTAGATTCCACATATAAACAATATCATATGATATTTGTCTTTCTCTGTCTGACTTACTTCATTCAATACGACAGTCTCTAGGTTCATCATGTTTCTGCAAATGGCATTATTTTGTTCTTTTATATGGCTGAGTAACATTCCATTGTGTGTATGTACCACATCTTCTTTATCCATTCCTCTGTTCTTAAACACACAGCTAGATGCATGTGCGTGTGGTTGTAGACAGACTGAGATATTTGCTGTGTTTCCCTCCTCTCCAGATTTGCCTCAATCGTCGGTGTCAGAACGTAAGTGTCTTCGGTGTTCACGAATGTGCGGTGCAATGCCACGGCAGAGGGGTGAGTAGGTGAACTGCCTTTGTATAGCCGGCCCACAGCAAGTTCAGCACTAAATCATTCCTTTGTAAAGGATTTTTGCCATCCATAACTTTGTAAAAATATAGCAGTCAGTGTCTCCTCAATATTTTCTTCTGAAGACATTCATTTTCTTTGACCTTTACATAGCATAAGAAATGGGATTTTTATTTAACAAAGAAAATCAGATTGAGTGATAATTATCTTTTAAATTAACATTCTGGATTTTTTTAAAAGGAAACTTTGTCATCTTCAAAGTAATTTTAACATTAACCTTCCGTCATGAAGAGTTTTGCATTAGCGTTTCAAACAGAGCTGTCCTTCCTACAGCCAACATTCAGAATATGTGTCTGAATTGAAATACTTCCAAAAGGAATTAAAACAAAGAAGACAGGACATACCGACCACATGTTCTTGAAATCACATACAATGGGTGTCAACTAAAGAAGGCTGTTATTTTAGTTCAGAGAATTTTGGTGGGGGGGCGGGGGGAGAGGATTCTAATTTTTTAAAACCTAGTTTATTTTTTCTGATGGGCTTAATTATTTCCAGTGGAATCATATTCATCTTGACTAGCTATGCCAGTGGTTCATTTGTTTTTCTGAAACCTTTTCTACAGATATTGTGCTCCAAATTCTATTTTTAAAATAGACACTCACCAATGATTGTAACATAGAATTACGGAGGTTTGCATAAAATTACTCTTGTGCTGTAACCATAAAGGATTGCAGTGTCACCTCAGATGGGTTTGTTGATGGTGAGTGTAGCTGACTGTCAGTATAAAATGGAATCTTTTAATGTCTCCACTGGATCATAGATTTCTTTCTAACGGCTGGAAGAAATGACCTAGCGCAGCCTTACTATTTGGCTGATGAAGCGGTCCAGGCCCTGGTGGGGATAGTGACACGTCCAAGGTTACGTGACCAGTTAGTAGCAAGGCTGTGTCAGGGACCCTGGACTCCTCCCTCTCCAACATCCACACACTGGAGAGGCCATGACTTGGGAACAAGTAAGGACCCCGGTCCTTCCCTCGCGAGGCCGGGCTCACCAGCAGCACCTCCAAGTGGGGTGTTAGGGCTGTAATCTCTGCCACAAGCTGCCAGGAGGGCACGTGACTGTGATTTGCAGCAGGAGAGACCAGGGCGGGCAGGACAGTGCCTGAGCCCCAGGGAGTCGTACCTCAGCAGCAGCATCTCTGAGGAAACAGGCAGGACACGCAGACTCAAGGCAACGTGGGCTGTGCTGCACGGTAGTTACTTCTGCTTAGCGTCAGCTTCATAGAAACACGCTTTCTCACTCACCGTAGGCTTTCCTGACTGTTGGCCTTCTTGTTGGAAGCATCTGGGGCAGGTGGTTGATTCAGAAAACAAGAGTCTGTGAAAGCAGGGAAACATCGCAAGTGAGAGAAATGCCCGGAACATTTATCGTGTCTTAAAATATAAGAGTGTGTGTTTGGCTTCATCCCGCATCCGTAGCTCGGCCCTGACTTCAGTACGCAAATTATCCAAAGTGCGCCATCTGTGACGTACCGTTCGTTTCTCTAAGCGGAAGGGAGACACTCAACGGGCAACCTTCCTGTCTTTTGCGGCTTTTTCTGATCACTTGTCAGTTGTTCTGCCCATTCCAAGTTTGTCCAAAGTTCTTTTTAGTGACTTGCATTTATCCGGCGTTCCCAAAGCGTTCAGCCTCATTGTCATAGAAATAATTCTCTCTCGTTTTCACACTCGTACTCCACTGGTTCCGGTAGCAGTTCAGCAAATTCCATGTGTGACAGCCTCCCCGAGCCTGCCGTCTGAAGGTGCCCAGGGCTGTCGGGCCCGTGATGCCCAAGGGCATGGATTCCGTGTCCCTGAAGCAGGGGCCCCTCCTTACCACGGAGCGGGCTTCTCATCTTGGCCAGATCAGGAGGGTTTCCTGGATTTAAAAAGAGGGACATGGAGATTGAGAAGAAAAGGGGTTGAAAGGAGTGGACGAGCCCTAACTGTCTCGATCCTTCTCTCAGTAGCTGCTGATGTAACAGCAGCACATTATGTTAATCCGCAGCCTTGGGCTCTGGGCTCACCTGTGTGGTGCTGGGTTTCGGGTTTATCCTCACAGCCGCATGTACGGAGTCTGACTGTATCAGTGGGACGGGGGCTCTGACCACAGGGCCTTTGCTTTGCTCTCGGGCTCAATTAGGGCTCAGAGACTTAGCGCTGCCCCAGGGGGACGTGCATCCTAACCCTGCTTCCCTCTTGGTGTCTTTCTCCTCTGCTGCCCGAAAGGTGTGTAACAATAGGAAGAACTGTCACTGCGAGGCCCACTGGGCTCCTCCCTTCTGTGACAAGTTTGGCTTTGGAGGAAGCAAGGACAGCGGCCCCATCCGGCAAGCAGGTTAGTGGTGACGGCGCGTCCCAGGGAGTGGGCTGAGCTCCTGGGGGCAGTGGGAAGCCAGGCCCTTGGGGGATCCTTCCAAGCAAGACTGAGGGCTCACCAGCCGTCGGGCGGGTGCACAGCCGCAAACCCAGTGAGGACCCCACGCAGACCTCACACAGCCCGAGGCCTCTCTGTTTCCAGACCCTCTCTAGTCGTTGCCTCATCTTTGCAGAGACTCGTCGCTCTGCTTTACTCAGAGGCTGAGTTCGCCGGGTCTTAGCCTGTGACATTTTCTTAGCTAAGGTCATTCTACCGCAGACTGCCAAGTGGGTATGAACTTCATTGTCGGATCAAAGGAATTTGTCAAGGCCAGCCTCTGTGTACGAGGGCTAAGAGGTGTGAAGTCAAATGCCTTTTAAAGCTCTTGCTAGAAAGACCCCCTCCTCTTCAAGGGACGGGTCCCAGCAGCAGCAGCAGAGATAGCAACAGTTTCTCTTTGCTGAGCTGCTGTTACCTGCCGTGCTTCACGTTTTATATGCATTAGCTCATCGAATCCTTACAAAAGTTGGCGTTATTCTTCTTTCCTTACAAGGGACCCGAGGCTCAGGGAAGTTAAGTAACTTTCACAGAGTCACACAGCTAAGACTGAGCACAGTCTACCCGTGAAGAAGCCCCTAAGGGTGGCTGTGCTGGGACTGTCAGTTCTTTCCTCCTCAAAGACGTTGAGAAGTGGTCTGCTAGCGCAGGACCGTCTTCTCGGAGCTCTTGTCAGCCAGTTAAGGGGCAGGCCTGAGTGATGCCCACTTTAAAGTGAAAGTGCAGAGAGCCCACCGCGAGCCGGGGGTGGGGGAGGGGGGTGTGGGCAGGCAGGAATGTCCCGAGCACACCTGTGCTGCCACCTCGGTGCCCACCTGAGCCCCTGGACGCTCAGACGGTGGCTAACGCCACTACGGAGGACGTCATACGTCCTGAGTCCCGCTGTGACTGGAAGGGTTGAATCTGTGGCTTGGCTACTGTTTCCATGACAACAGACGCAACACTGCTGTACAGGACCAGGCAGGGGACACAGGGCCAGGAGGGAGAGACCCTCTGAGCAGGCACATCTGGAGAAGCAGTGTTGTGAGGAAGGGAGGTGAGCTCCTGGGCACCCTTCTGCTTAGGGATGGACATGTCCCAACACGGCTCCCGAGACCGGCCCCGCAGCAAGTGGAAAAAGGGCCCCAAGGTCTTTCCTCTTAGCACACATCCATCCCAGGGGGTAATAAGCCAGGCCTGGCCCAGCATCCCCACCTTGATGGCTGGCCTCTTGCTGCAACGTAGTCAGTTTTCTAATTGGCCATCAAGAGGTTATTGTTAAAAAAATAGCATTTTAGTTTTTAATGCACCGGGGACCCTGCCACCTGTTCCATCCTCTGCATTCACGTGAGCCAGATGGCGCTCGAGGAATTGCACAGGATGGCGGGAGACAGGCCACGTGCTCTGGGTCCCTCTTTGGTGTGGACACCAGGGGGACTCAAGTTTCGGGGTTTCCTAAACTTGGGGCGAACCCACAGAGTTGCCAGTTCTTCGTTGTACCAAGTAAGAATATTTTAAAAATGGAAACAACTGAAGAGCCGGACTCATCCACCATTGCCGTCGTATCATAAAAGAAAGTAAGTTTACACCCTCCCCCCGAAACACCTACAAAAGAGGGGCCACGAGAAGCCGGCTGATGGCTGCATGGGGCGTAGCCGCGCCCTGGGCCTCAGTGCCCCCAGCCCGCCTGCCTGCCTGCGGCCCAGAAGTGCATGACGCAAGTATTTCTCCAGCATCTGTCGGGCACCAGCCGCTCCTCCGGGTCCTGGGAGACGCTCGGCGGGCACAGCGCGGACGAGAAGCTGTGATGGGCGGGGTGACAGTGAGACTCAGGAAGGTGGGCCACGGGACGGAGGGGACACGGGGCAGGCTCGATGGGACGCGGCGCCTGCACTGGATGCGGGGATGGCACTGCCTGGGGTTCTGGCTCGAGCGGCTCGTGGAGACAGGCAGCCTGGGGGGCAGGGGGAGCAAGCTCAGTGTGCGGCCCAGTCAGTGTTTGACTGATGACTCATCAGTTTAAGACGTAGGGATTTGGAAGCATGGAACTGGAAAGTAGGGCTGAAGCATGTCGCTGCTCACTTTTTAATGAGCTGTGTTAAGAGACAACAGAATCCTCACCAGAGGCACCTGCGACTGCCAGCCCACAGTCTCGAAAGAGGGACATCTGGGCCAGGAGACCAGAGCAAGGCTTTTCCAGTAACACTTACAAGTGAATCAAGATGGTCCCGTGTTGATTGTCTGCCTTAGACTCAGTCACATCCCTCTTAGGACTTGTCAGCTGGGGACGAAGTCCAGAAACAGAGAGGGTGTGAAGGCTTTCTCCCCCCGGGTGGGAGCTGCTGCTACTCTGGTTCCCAGCCAGCTGGATGTCGTGGTTGGAGGTGGGGTGGGAGAGCCCTGGTGACAGAAGCCACCTCCACAGCTGTCACCAGCAGCCCGGAAGGACTGCAGGGCACCTACCAGGGGGCACACAGACTGATGGCTGCTAGCAGGAGAACAGAGACAAATGAATCGAGACCTGTGCTCTCAAGGAACTCACCGCCCTGGTGAAACTGCAACTACAGCTCCTCCAAATCCGGGCATTTAGAGCCCTCCCCAGAGGCCCTTGACCGCAGCTGCAGTTAGAAACCAGCGGGATGGTTTGATTTTCCCTTCCTTTCCACCTTTGAGGAGTCTTCGTGTCTCTGCACTAAAGAAAATGGGATCATATCACAGAAAGGGGGGATGTTTCCTTAGATAAAATAAACAGCATCCTCCCAGAGAAAGGGGTTTGCCCCCCCTCACAGGGTGCGTTTTTAAGTCCCTAACATAACGAAACAGAACCCAAGGGCATTTAAACTGAGTTTGCTTTTTCACCTTCTAATTTGATGATATCCAGAAGTAAGGTCTTGGTCTAAAATAAAAAATACAAAAAACAAAAATAGAACAGACGCCAACACCAAAGAATGAGAGAAGGAAAGAGCCCGCGGGAGCATATTTGTAATGGGGGCTGGGAAGATTTCAGGTTGGGGACCACTTTAATTCTGATGGGATTCCAGTGACAGCTCCCTGTTACTTTCGCCACCATTCCCCTGCTGTTGTCGTGCCTGGGGGGCCCGTGTGACCAGGGAGATGGTCCCACTGGCCAGACTGGATTCCCATTTAGCAAGTTCCAGACTTGTCAGAAATGAACACTGACAGGGCAGGTTGCACCTCAGACACGACCTGTGAAGTGACACTGGTTTATCAGTGCACCATCCAGGGATTTACTCACTCCATTTCTGGTCCTTCCTTCAAAGTTCATTTTGCCGTAAATGTCACAGTTTGATACTCCCCATATTTTAGTTCTATGCCTCCTTCTCTGAGTCAAATGTGCTTTCTTTCAGGTAACCAAGGTTTAACGATAGGAATTCTGGCGACCATCCTGTGTCTTCTTGCTGCTGGATTTGTGGTTTATCTCAAAAGGAAGACATTGATACGACTGCTGTTTACAGATAAGAAAACCACCATTGAAAAGCTAAGGTACCCTGGGTTAGGGTCATCTTTTCAAGAAATGGTATTTGAAAGAATGTGCAATGGGCTGCTTCGCACTGTGTCTCCTTAGCAAAGAAGAGGTCAGATTTTCTGTTGGTTTTGGTGTTTTAACATTTCTGCCAGACCTGCTGCCCCCTTCACTTTCCCTTCAAACTATTTGCAATTTATTACATAAATAAGCAGGGTGTTGATGAATTCCACTGGTGTATTTTTCCCACCCTTACATTGGTACTTTTTACAAGGTGGAATATTAAAACATTTTTATCAGATGGGGTAGCTTTCGATCCAAATATATTCCAGGACATCATCGCTAAAATGCCAGCTTCATGCGAAATGTCTCCCAGGCGTCCCCAGCTGTGTGCCTTAGATTGTAAGAACTAATTTAACAGAATGATGGCTTGGGGGGAAGAAACTCAGTATTTATGTTTTAATCTTGTAAGAGTGTTAGATAACTTTTCTCTTGCATGTTTACCACACTAAGTTAAAAGAAGTGAATTGCATTTTGCGTGTCACTGTGAACAAAACAGAAAAAGTCAAGTCAGGCAGAGGGGACAGCGCCCTCGCCAAGCGTGTCTGGGACTGCATTGCAGGTGTGTGCGCCCTTCCAGGCCGTCCAGTGGCTCCCAGCCTAGTCAGGCTCACCTTACCCACCTCAGCAAAGGGCCGATGAGGAAGCCGCCACCTTCCAACACACCTAAGGTGAGTTTTGAACAAACATAAGAAGCGAGGCTTCCCTGGGGGCACAGTGGTTGAGAGTCCGCCTGCCGATGCAGGGGACATGGGTTTGTGCCCCGGTCCGGGAAGATCCCACATGCCGTGGAGCGGCTGGGCCCGTGAGCCATGGCCGCTGAGCCTGCATGTCCGGAGCCTGTGCTCCGCAACGGGAGAGGCCACAGCAGTGAGAGGCCCGCGTACCGCAAAAA